TTAGAAACTACGGATGTCCCAGCATATAGCCAAATTCTCTACTTTATTTTCCCATTACTGGACGATTGCCCCGATTTGAGGTGCCAAACCTTCCCGTCGATGTGAACTCTTAGGGAAGATCAGCCTGTTAATCCTAGAGTAACTTTTATCCGTTGAGCGACGGCCCTTCCACTCGGTACCGTCGGATCACTAAGGCCGACTTTCGTCCCTGCTCGACGATTCAGTCTTGCAGTTAAGCTCCCTTTTGTCTTTACACTCAATGGCTGATTTCCGTCCAGCCTGAGGGAACCTTTGCACGCCTCCGTTACCCTTTGGGAGGCCTACGCCCCTATGTAAGAAAAACTGATATGCTGCTCGTATTTTTCTCTGTCTAGAACCCCATACCCCTATAATAATAAACATAGGGATTAAAGCTGTTTTACCAGTCAATTCAGTTTTGAATCGATACAAAGTTCGAGTAATAGATCTAGGAATAAAACCAATTGTCTCATAAGCTATTGAATCAATATTAGTAAGAATACCTAAATGAAAAGTTTTTTGTTTTTTTGGATTTTTGGCTTGTTGTGAATAAAAAAAAACACGTTTTTTTTTTTTCTCCAAGTTTCTATGTCCTCTRTTACTTTTTGAATCCATGATAGTTGCACATTGATTTTTTTTTWATGTAAAATGCTGAGATAAAGATTATCCTTAGAATAAAAAACTTCAAATGGAGATAGAAACAGTAAAAAAACTACACTTACTCTATATTCGAACAAAGAATATTGAATCCACTTATATTTGTTTAATTCAGAATCTATATAAGAAAAGGAGTTTTCCCATGAGGTTTTATCAAAGAAATCAGATTTTTTGTAAAGAGAAAATTCTTCCTTAATAGTTTGAATTTCTTTACTTGCTTCATGAGCTTTTTTAAGGGCTTTCCGACCTCTCTGAAGCAACCATTGGCATAGTTTAAAATAAAGAAAAGTGATATATTTTTTTTTTCTATCATTTTTTGTTTCATTTCTTTTATAGTATATATTTTTATTTTTCACCACTCCGACTAAGGCCTTGCTGGTTTTGACATACAGCAGGCAGAGGGCCGAAGGCCAGAGTGCATTCGCGTGCTTCCCCAAGTGCACAAGGCCGAAGGGCTGCAGGGTATGCTTCCCCGAAAACGACCGCTCTTCGAGCCGCCTCATCTCGTATAAGCGCCAGGGGGCTTGCATCACAGCTCCAGGCACGAAGTGCCCTATGAATGTGCTTTTATGGCATGCTTTGTTTCCTCTACTGTTGCCAGTTGAAGGTAAGCCATATGCCCCTAGTGTGAAGTTCGGTCGCATACTTTTATAACTATAGGTGACCTTACGGCCGCCCTCAAAACCACATTCGTAAGCTGACAGTTTTTCCGGATAAGTYAGGCTGGATGAAGAAGCAAATAAGAAAGAAAGGCCAATTAAGATCAAAKAAAGTAGTAAACTAATGACCAAATACACACAAATAGGTGCAAACTYCATAAACCAATCACACTTTGTTTTGTGAGGAGAATAGTTCCAATGGTAGAACAATGGTCTCCAAAACCATAGGTTAAGGGTTCGAATCCCTTTTCTCCTGTAATGTAATTATAATTAATGTTCCTATTTATATCAAAACAAACCTTTCAATCAGTTCAATTCAATCCAATTCAATTCAATTCAATTCAATGATTGGAGAATTCAAGCGTATCGTATAGTATATATAAGCTTGAAGTAAGGGAATCAAAAATAGTAAGTAGAATGAATACAATAAAATAAATGTAATAAATTATAGATAGGATCTAACTTCATTTTATATATATGTATGATCAAATAGGAATCAATATTTATTTTGATTTTTAATAATATATTCAAAAAAATTGAAACCTCTTCCCAAACTGTACAAGTTTTTTTCAAAGCATACAGCTTTCAAGATGTCTTAGATTCAATCGGTTTTTTATCATTATCGAGTATTTTAGTAGGAGTAAAAATGAATTAATAAAAGAATTGAATTTTTTTAACAGATAAAGACTAAAAAACTTAATCTAAACCTATTTTTTATGTTTCTAGTGTATTCTTTGTCTATTTTCATAGTTTTGTTGTAGACTACTCATAATTAGAATGAAGAATAAATAATCAAATTATTATGCAATCAATCTTCTATACAGTAAATATAAACAATAAAGCAACATTGCATATAATTAAAAATTAAATGAACATTAGTCATTAATGAGCTCAAGCTACTGCTGAGAATGTAGCGCGTGCTGCTATTCCATTAGGAATTAAGTCAGTTGAAGTGAGAATTAAAAGTTATTCTATTTTGCATTATTACTTTATTGGATTTTTTATTATAACTACAAATAACAGAATAACTATATTTCTATCTATTTATATCTATTATCTGAAATACTTCTTATATGATTTATTTCATTTGTCATTTATTGTATTATTTATTGTATTATAATAAGTATTATAATAATTGATTATAATTTCTATAAATCATATTGAGCCTTATTGGTGAATAAAATAAACATATCCTTCATTTTAAAGAATAAATCTAATTCTCAAATATATAATTATTTTTTTTATTTTTTTTGTGATATTCCATAAAGAATTAATATAATAATTATATTTCTCAAATGGATATTAGATTCATATTCATATGAATCTAATATCCATGTATTATATTCTTTATTTTGTATTTTGTATATGTATATGTATACATATGTTGAATTAAGAATATATTGTTTTATCTTTCTCTATAAATAAAAATGCAATAAGAGAACAATCAATGATCTCTTAGTTTATGCTCATTTATTACCCAGAACA